TCCATCGTCTCTCATGGTTCGTCTCCCCCTCCGACTTACTCCCCTTCATTCTTCCCCTCCTGCTATCTTCTTCTTTTTCTTTTTTCTTAACATATGTTGCATTATTTGTTTCAGAGGTACAGATCTGTGATTCAACAGTCTTGCACAATTAACAGCGCTCACCATAGCACATACCCTACCCAATGTCTATCACCCAGGCACCCCATCCCTCCCACCCCCCACCACTCCAGCAACCCTCCGTTTGTTTCCTGAGATTAAGAATTCCTCATATCAGTGAGGTCATATGATACATGTCTTTCTCTGACTGACTTATTTCACTCAGCATAACACCCTCCAGTTCCATCCACGTCGTTGCAAATGGCAAGATCTCATTCCTTTTGATCAACATGCCCAGTTTTTAATTTAGGATTGCAAAAAATCATTGCTACCAAATTAAGGAGGTGACTTGCATGTTATATAAAAAAAACATTATCTTTTTCAAATTTAATTTTTTTTGAGAGAGAGAGAGAGCGGGGAATGGAAGAGAGGCAAAGAGAGAGGAGAGAAAGAATCTTAAGCAGGCTCCACACCCAGCACGGAGCCCCACATAGGGCTCAAACTCACAACCCTGAGATCACGACCTGAGCAGCAATTAAGAGTGGGATGCTTAACTGACTGAGCCACCCAGGCGCCCCTAAAAAATACTCTTTAAACATAAGAATCATATTTAGCACAGTGTAATGCTCATACAATGAGAATGATGTTGGAACTGAGACTGATAACATGAGCACTTACTACGTGCCAGGCACTGTTCTAAGTGCTTAACGTGTACTAAGAGATTTGAGTCTCCTAACAACCTTATTTTGATACACTGCTTATCAATGAGAAGACTAAGACACAAAGGGATAACTTATTTAGTGATACCAAGCTAGAAAATGACAGAATCAGGATTTAAACCTAAGGGTTCCAAAGTCTGTGCTCTTAACCACAATGGTCTACAGCCTCTAGTATATGGGAGCAGAAATTCACGTCTCATTTCACATGCTCCAGGACATAGGCTCTTTGTGGAATGGCCAGGTGAAATGCCCACATTCATTCATTCACTCATTCAACTAATATTTATTGAGCATCTACCATGTGTTAGGCTTGGAGGAAACAGAAGTGAACAATTTAAATAAAAATCCTGGCCTTCAGGATTCTGACATTTTAATGGGGTAGACAGGTAATTTTAAAAAGGCCAGGCAGATGTAGTATATGTTAGAATGTGATGAGTGGTATGGAGAAAAATAAGGCAGAGAAGTAGAATTCTGAAGGCTGGGAGAGGAGGGAAAGGTTGCAGGTGTATTTTGGGTGGTTCCATCAATCAAATCCAGGGTATGGGCCATGTCTGGACATCGACTGGAACAAACCTACTATAAAAAGTCATTTTGGAGACAAGTGGGGACAATAAATATGGCCTGCATATTGGATATTAAGAACTTAAATAATATTAGTATGATGGTTATGTTCTCTCTACATTTGTATGTTTTAAAGTTTCCAAAATAAAATGATTAAAAAAAAAAGGAAGGCCGTCAAGGAAGAGTCAAAGCATTCTAATGATGACATTAGAGTAAAAACCTGAGGGTAGTGAAGGAGTGAGCAAGTGGATCACAGGGAAAACCATCCAGGCAAAGGGAACAGCAAGCATGCAGACTCTGAGGCCAGTTAAGTGACGGAAGGGTAGCGGGGGTTTGGTCAGAGACGCAATGAAGTGTAGTGTCCTATATACTGTTTTAGAGACTCTGGCTCTAACTCTGTGGGTGTTGGGAAGCCACTGGAAGGTTTGAGTGGCAAGGTGATATGATCTAACTTACATTTTTGAAAGTCCCACTCTCACTGCTATGTTAAGAACACACTGAAGGGGAGGGAGCATGAGAGGTACAGTTAGGAAGTTCTTACTCTAATACAACAGAAATGATGATGGCCTGGAAGAGATTTTTTTGTAACAGTGGAGATAATGAGGTCTGTTTATTGTAATATCTTAATGCCAAAGCCAAAGTAATTGCTTACAAATTAGATGGAGGTGTGGGATAAATAGAAGAGACCAGCACAAGACCAATGTTTCTGGCTTCAGCAGCTAGAAAGATGATGTTGTCATTCACCGAAGTGGAGAAGATAGGGAAGACACAGAGTTTTTTGGGGAGGGAGCCAAGAGTTCAGTTTTGAACATGTCAAGTTAGAAACACAAGTAGTGATAGCAAATAAGCATCTATCTATGTGAATATGCAACCAGGAGGGAGGTATGGGCTAGATTTATGTAAAATTAGGAGTGTATAGATTTGACAGTGAAAAGAATTACCAAGAGAATGTGGACAGAAAAGACAAGAAGGGAGCCTGGCTGGCTCAGTCAGAAGAGCATGAGACTCTTGATCTCAGCATCATGAGTCTGAGCTCCACACTGGGTGCAGAGATTACTAAAAAACAAAAACAAAACAAAACAAAACAAACAACTTAAAAAAAAAAAAAAAGACAAGAGGCCTAAGGTCTAATCCTTGGGAGACTGAGAAAGAATGGCTAGTGAAGTTGGAAGAAAATCAGAAAGATAGGCTGTCCTAGAAGGCAAGTGAAGAAAGTAAAGAAAGGAAGTAGAGGAGTCCTCGACTGTGTTAAATGCCCATGAAAGACCAGCAAGTAAGTTAAGGACTATGAACGGACTACTAAAATTTACAACATGGAGGTCATCGGTGACACTGACAGGAAAAAGTAATTCAGGTAAGGTGGTTGAGAGTAAAGTGTGACAAAGTGGGTTTAAAGAAGTAGGAGGGGAGAAGAGTGCCTGGCAGGCTCAGTTAGTAGAGCATACAGCTCTCAGGAGCATGATCTCAGGGTTGTTGAGTTCAAGCCCCACATTGGGTGTAGAGCTTATTCAAGAAGAATAAATTAAAAAAAAAAAAAGGGCAGGAGACGGAAGATTGTAGACAGCAAGTACAAATAACTCATACTTTAATACTGCATTTTTCTTGTTCTTTTGTTTGACCAAGTTTAAGTATGGCTAAATTGTCGTGTTAACTGTATGTATGACAAGACTCCACTACAGTCGGAGGTAAAGAAAATCATTATGGTTTCACAGAAGTAAAAGGAGAAAGGGTTTCAAAAGAAAAAGTTACCATTATTAAGGTCATAGGAAAAGGTCTTCAGGTTTGTTACCATTTATGGGTTGGTAATCCATCTATTATCAGACACATTTTGTTTCAACATAAGATGATGACAGGAAATGTTCCTAAAGATGAGACGTGGAGTGAAGTTATGCTGCTAGCAATCACCTGTCTCCTGTGAGAAGAGTAGTATGGTAAGGAAAGAAAAAAGCTGGGAGAAGATAAGGTCTCCAGTCACCAGAGAGTAAAGCGATAAACCTGAAATGTGTTACCACCTTTAAATGCATCATACATATGCATTTCTAGCTCACAGCTCTGTCTGCGGTTATACTCAGGGTAGAAAAAGCACGAAAAAATCAGGATATTAATTTCAAACTTTGTGCTTCTATGATTCCTTTGGTACCATTTCACTGACTCTTTAATTGGGCACTCTGAAGATCACTAAGTGCTTTTCTGAAAATGTGGAGTCTGGGCTGAAACTTCAGCAGTTCTAATTGCAATGCCTCAGTAATGCAAGTAAATACTGGTACTAAACAATATCAGGACAATGTGCCTGCAAATAAAAATCACAGAAATGACCCCCGAGTGAAGACAATTCTCCAAAAGTCATCATAACAAAGATCTCACATAAACACACTCAAAACACTAACTCTGTGAATTACAAATTTAAACAAATTAATATATCTGCACGAATCCACAAATTAGCACATGTGACAGTCTAAATGATCAGTCTAGATATTTTTAAGCAGCAACATTTTTGGAAATGAATTACTACCAAAATTCTCCCACAATTCTACCTTAAATGCTTAAATGAAGAAGATACTATGCTATGTCTCTGTAGAGGTTTATAGAAACCTGAATCCTCTTACGTTTCAAACTCTAAATAAAAAATAATGCAGGGGCGCCTGGGTGGCTCAGTCGTTAAGCGTCTGCCTTCAGCTCAGGTCATGATCCCAGGGTCCTGGGATCGAGCCCCGCATTGGGCTCCCTGCTCCGCGGGAAGCCTGCTTCTCCCTCTCCCACTCCCCCTGCTTGTGTTCCCTCTCTCGCTGTCTCTCTGTCAAATAAATAAATAAAATCTTTAAAAACAAAAAATAATGCAGGGGCGCCTGGGTGGCTCAGTCGTTAAGCGTCTGCCTTCAGCTCAGGTCATGATCCCAGGGTCCTGGGATCGAGCCCCGCATTGGATTCTGCTCAGCGGAGAGCCTGCTTCTCCCTCTCCCTCTGCCTGCCACTCTGCCTACTTGTGCTATCTGTCAAATAAATAAATAAAATCTTTAAAAAAAAAAAATCAGAAAAACAAGGGTTGGCAAGGATATGGAAAAACTAGAACCCTTGTGCACTGTTGGTTGGAATGTAAAATGATATAGCTGCTGTGGAAAACAGTATGGCAATTCCTCAAAAAAATAACTAGAATTATCGTATCATCTAGCAATTCCACTTCTGGGTATATATCCCAAAGAACTGAAAGCAGGGTTTTAAAGAGATGTTAGTATATCACTATTCATAAGCAATGGCCAAAATGTGTAAGTCAACCCAAGTGTTCATTTTTTAAAAAAGATTGATTATGAGAGAGAGAGAGAGAGAGAGAGAGAGAGAGAGAGAAAGAGAGCGCGCGCGCCTGCACGCACACTAACAAGCAGGGGGAGCGGCAGGCAGAGAGAGAAGCAGGCTCCCTGCCAAGCAAGAAGCCTGATGTGGATTTTGATCCCAGGACCCTGAGATCATGACCTGAGCTGAAGGCAGATGCTTAACCGACTGAGCCACCCACGGTGCCCCCAAATGTTCTCCTTCTTGAATATTTACTTTTTCTCCTTTCTCATGAGAAAAGGGCTAAGGCAGTAACACAGACATCTGTACTTTAAAGTCTCTATCAACGGCTCATACCTGATGTCCACTCTAAGTTTAGGGTAATACTGAGACACGTATTTCCTGATGAGACTGTAAGAAGCTTCTTTAGGTTCACAAAGGCGAGTAAAGGCCAATGGGAGGATATCCTCCAACTTTACTTGTGGCTCTGGATCCACTGCAGAGCTTCTGTTCTGAAATATAACATCAAAAATTATCATCAGTACAGAATATAGAGTTCTCTGTTCAAATGCTTCTCTATTAACTTGTAGAAAACTATCACTTTTTTCCACATTCAAATAAATATACCACAGGGGTATAATGGCATTTGTGTGGCAACTTATTTGAGATTAAGAACTTCAGATTGAGAGTTAAAATATGTATAAAAATGACAAGAGGGGCACCTGGGTGCCTCAGTCAGTTAAGTGTCCGACTCTTCCTTTCGGCTCAGGTCATGATCTCAGGGTTGTGAGATCAAGCCCCAGATCGGGCTCTGCACTGGGTGTGGAGCTTGCTTAAGATTTCTCTCTCTCCCTCTGCCCCTCCTACTCAAAAAAAAAAAAAAAAAGAAATGGTAGACTTTAATTAAAGGTCCTAGTTTATTCTTAGCCTTTAATAACAAAGAATGAAAAGGATCATGCAGCACCAAAAAGCACCATAAAAAAGTTCATTTCATTCAAAGTTTTAGGAAAAAGGTACAAAAATCTTTGGAGTTGCAAAAACACAGATGTATAGTCATGATTTCACTTACTGACATAGAGGAAATACTACATATTTCACTTTATTATTGTACAAATACTTTCCACAAATGAAATTATGTATCTCAAGGAGAAGTATTAGTATGTACAAAAAAGAAAAAAAAAGAAGAGAAGAGGAAAAAAAGGAAAAAAAAGAAAAAGGCTCTGGGTATAGTTTTGGGGTTAATAATGGGTAAAGAGGTACTCATATGCCCCTTTTAGTTTAACAGACATTTCATTAAAAGCAATACAATTCATACAGCTGCCCATAATTCAACTTATGGCAGTTAAGTGCATGGGCTCTGGGGTTGGAGTGCTTGGATTTACACACTGCCTGTTTTCTACTCATTAGCTGGCCGAGAGTGAGTGAAGGCCTTAGGAGAAAGGCTGCACTCTGCACGGTGCTGGCACACAGTGAACACTCAATGCTGCTATTTTTAGTGGAAGAAATAGTTTTACAATGCTCAAACTGTGGTACAGACTTCTTACCTTTCTGTTTCTGGATTTCTGAGGTGTTTTTCTTGATTTTTGGACCACAATAAAACTCCCAGAAGCACCTTTTCCTTTTACCTAAGGTTAATTAATTATAGTTACAATAACCAATATTTTAAAATTATTCTGGTATTAACATTTATAACTTTATACTAGTCCAAGCAAAGTACAGGGCATGGTGATACAAGAACTAATGTAAAGTGCTGTTCAACCCTTCAGAGAAAAAAGAACAATGGATAGACTGAAAGACTTGGGACCGCATCCTATTTATGGTACCATCCAGCCATTCAATATTGGACAACCCCGTAAAGTCTCTGAGCTTTTGTTTCCTCATCTATGGAACTGGGATGGATGCTACTGTGATACCAGGTTAAATAATCTACAAGCTTTCCACCCCCCCCAAAAAAGTACCATGAAAGAAGGGACAATCTCTTGGGGAAAATGAGAAAACCTCTATCTTGAAAGGAAGATCATTCCTTGGCAAAAGTATACAGCCTGCTGATCTCAAACTACAGTGCTTCCCAGATTGCCCATTAGTGATTATTACTGCACATGGGAATAGTTATCTAATTAATTCTTAGCCACCCCATATGGTATGTGTAAGTCTTACCACATATTTCCACAGTTTACAAAGCACTTTCATAGAACTTTAAAGCTGATTGGCACTAACCTGAGTCCTCCACACCTTAGCTTTATTTGTGCTACTATGAATGTAGCAATCAAGCTGAAATGCTTTCAGCCTATAAACTGTTGTTTAAGCATCAAACTGAGGTCAGCCTACGAGGCAAGAATAGGTCATAAACTATATTTCACAAAAAAAAAAAAAAACCAAACAAACAAAAAAAAACATGAAGCCAGCTCATAAACTGTGCTGACATACACTATGATAGAGGACAAGTCTTTGGTTCTCAATACATTGGTTAGATAATACCTTTCAATCAGTGACTATTTTAAAGGCCATATGAATATCAGTTATACACCATTTTGAGAAAGCTGTACCATTAGCTCCACAGCAGGAATCTGCTTTACTCACTGATTGGGCCCCCAAGCACCTGGCACACAGGAACAATATATATTTGTGGAATGAAGTACTTGTTGAAAGTTCCTAATCAGAATTTAAATGCCTTAGTGGCACAGAATTCTGTATTAATCAAATTGTGCAGGAAGATATGAAAGAAAAGGCAACAGGACTCTTGGAACAGAGTTAACTAGGTTTTGAACCATTTTTGCCAGTACCATGGGAACGTGGTAATTACTGGACCTCTGAAGAGGATTTAAGATAAAGTCCATTCCAACTTTAAATTTTTATGATTCTAAGCAATATTTTGATGTACTATGCAAAATAACATGTGTTTATGCCTGAAATCATTATTGGTTTTAGTACTAGTCTCAATTTACTCAGGCTTCTCTGATGCTCCCAACAAGCTTTAATACTGTTAAGTTAAAGTGAACCTATTTACAAATACGTAACAGTAACAAGTCCAGTCACATAACAGCCTTTAAAACTAACACAAGCAAGAATAATTTTTTCCTGCTGCAATAAATTGATTCCTTAACCCCACATCTTATTTTCAGAACTACATGATCTCAAGTGTTAAGTGGCTCCAAAGAAAATCCAATTATGGGGCACCTGGGTGGCTCAGTTGGTTAAGCATCTGACTCTTGATTTCAGCTCAGGTCATGATCTCAAGCCTTGTGTAGGGCTCAGCGTTCAGCGCGGAGTCTGCTTAAGATTTTCTCCCTCTCTCTCTCTCTGCCCCTCCTGCCTCCCACCCCCAGTTCATGCACTCGTGCTCTCTAAAAAAATAGGTAAAGAGGGGCGCCTGGGTGGCTCAGTCGTTAAGCGTCTGCCTTCGGCTCAGGCCATGATCCCAGGGTCCTGGGATCGAGCCCCGCATCGGGCTCCCTGCTCTGCGGGAAGCCTACTTCTCCCTCTCCCACTCCCCCTGCTTGTGTTCCCTCTCTCGCTGGGTCTCTGTCAAATAAATAAATAAAATCTTTAAAAAAAAAAAAAAGAAATAAAATTTATAAAAGTACAAGGAGCACCAGAAACAAATTACACTATCATAATGCTTCTGCTCTCCAGAACAGTTAACTTATCAAAGATAACTGGCACACCTGTGATTCTGAAACCTAGTCTCAAATAATAAAACTAGGTTAAGCTTAAACATTTCATTATTATGTTAATTTACAAAAGAAGACACAAAAAGCCTAAATGTTATTGTGGACTTACAGTTAATACATGTTGAAATGATCTTATCCCCAATAATTGTTTAATACCTGTTTGATGACACCTCTATTTAATTCTCTTTTCAGTGCTTGTTTAAGGAGGTAGCCCCTTCTCTCCAGCTCCAGAGAAGGGTACTTATGAATAATATATTTTCGAATAGCAACCACTGATGCACCACTCTTCTGGAAGCATGCCTAGAAAACAGATTTACCAAACCATACACATTACTTTATACCGGCTGCTTTTCATTAGACAGAGAATCTGATGACAAATGTTTTCAAAATAAATTATTTTGGAGGTGAACTTGACAAAAGATGATAAAAATGGCAGGAAGAATGAAGAGTCTTTCAGGTAACTTCAGTACATCAAGGTTGTTGAGAAATACAGAAACAATCTTTTTGCAACAATTTTAACTTAGTTGAAGACAGGCAAAGAGAAGATAAAACGTGAACAACATTCTGTGTGTCAAGGAAGAACTTTCCATTTTAATTCTATTCTATATTTAAAAGACAGATCTCCAGAATTAAAATGAAGAAAACAGAACATTTCTATTACTATAGGATTGTAGATCTGGTTCATTTTCTGGAATGAGCTTTAAGCATACCAGGACCAATGTTCTCTGTAGGCTTTGTGTGAATGTCAGCAGAGAACATTAGCAAAGATAATCTGAATAAATGGCCTAAAACTGGTTTACAGATGGCAAAATCTTAAGCAAAGTTTTGGGCAACAATGAGGGCATTCGACTGTGACTTAAAATGCCCTCTTCTGTTTCCATCCAATTTATCTATATTCCATTTAATTAATGACCATGGAAGACTTAAGTAGGTCATTAAGTAATGAAGGTGGCAAATTTTTTTCAAATGCTTTACATTTTGAAGCACACGTAAAAAACATCTGTTATTTACCTAATGGGCTAGTCCACCAATTTTGTGTTGCCATTGTCTATAAACTGAACGTGGCACTTACTCATTCTCATTGGATAAAGACTTGATTGAATGTTATTTTACATACTTTGACAATAAGGAAAAATTGTACAACATAAAGTTGTGTTAATATGGTTGACTGACTTCAAGTATCTCTGATCTATTACAACCTATTAAAGTTTACTCCTGATCTTTTAAGAAAATTCAAAGAAAATCGAGCAGAAAAGAACTCTTTAATGCTAAAACAATTTTATGCTCCACCAAACTGACATTGAGATGTAAGTAGACATAAGGACTTTTTTATTAACAAAATGGTATCAATGGTCTATAATCATGATTTGTTACATTGCATTGAACACACACACACACCCCCTCCTTTGTACAAATATGCACAATCAGATTCAAACTATCCTTTAGGCCTAATTATACTGTTCTAATTTTTTGTTTCACGATTTTAAAATTTTAGTCCCTCTCCAACCTCACTGTAACCCTGCTCCTCAAAATCTAGGCTGAGAGGTCATGAAGTGAAATCCTGGAATAAAGGCTACACAAAAAAAAGAGATCTCACTAGATCTAGACCAAGAAAGTTTTAAGGAGTTGAGAGCACTCCTGAAAGGAGTGCAGGGAGAGGGCTGAAGGCAAACCCTTTTCCAGTTTATGTGTCATTCTCAAATTCTGAAAACGACCACTAGGCTGCTCTCTCCTCCGTACACCACCCTTGATTACATTGGTCTTTATTCCTCTTTCCCCAATTCTGACTGAGATCCTAGCAACAAGATCCCTAAAATGAGGGTGTCTTGTTAATTTTGCATGATGAGGTAAGAGAAGCGAGTGAGATTATCATACTATGTGAATTAGCAAGGTAAAAGTAACCAGGAAAACTTAAAAAAAGCAAGGTCAGATGATAAGATAACCTTAAAAATTAAAATAAGAAAGCTACGTGAAGACCCGGAAGCTAATGGGAGTCAGCGGATTACAGCAAAGTCAGAAAGCTGTGCAAGAATTTTTGGTGATGAAGCAAAGTAGTAAGGTTTCTAAGAGGGCTTCTTAGAGCTCAGGTGAGAAAGCTAGCTATTACCAGTATTAGACACTCAGCTTTGAAAATGGACCTAAAGACAGTGTTTCTTTTTTAAAATAAAAATCCTCTATGCTATTCAGTTACTCTCAGTCACAATCAGATTTCATAAGGGCAGAGACGACCCTGTTTTATTCTCTGCTATATCCTTAGCAGGGTTACAGATACAGAGAAGTTAGTCCTTAAATGTTTGTTGAATGAATTAACAGGTTCAGCCTTCAAATAAATACTATATTTAACCAATAAACTGAGCAAAACAAAAAAAATCTGAAGTTAAAAATACTTGCTATAATAAATCTGAATTAAAAAATTAACAGTGCTCACCAAATGTGATTTTCTTAAAACAAAAACAAAAAACATGAACTTCACAATGGCTTTCTTCTATTTATGTATCTTTTAGGAAACAGCAAGATTTCTCATGTCTGGACAGGAATATGCCATTTTCAAATAACCCAAAGACGAACAAAATAGATCTAAGATGAACTGCTTGTAATAAAAACTTGCCTTAATGGCCTCAGTTAGGATTGCATCCATCTTGGGACGTGGGGAGGAAGCCATCGGTGTTTGTTTCTGGGCTCTGGCTAGCTGGCTGGCAGAAAGGGTAGCCCAGGAAGGTATTGTTTTTTTCACTTTCTTCTCCTTTTCTTTAGACTGATCTTTCTCACTTTAAAACAAAGAATTGTTATTATGCAAAGTAAACTCTGCAGAAAGAGGTATAAAGTCAGAAAGAAGAACAGACAAGAAAAGGATAAAAATTAATGTTTTATTGCCACACTAAAGTGATACATAAAATGAGCAAATTTTCAAAAAATAAAACCTTTTTAAAAAATTGGATACTATAAGTGAACCAGAAAGGTGTCTTCTCTTAGGTGCAGGAGAGAGGAGTCAGATAAATTACCAAAGGTATGAAGGGCCAGCACACTAAAGAAATGAGAATTTTAAAACGTATTCTAACAACCACAACCGCTGTCATTTAGCACAGTGAAAAGAACTCAAGCTCTGAAGTTGGAAGACCTGGGTTTGGGTTTTTGCTCTAACATTTACTAGCTACATGACCTTGGCAGGTAACCTGAGTCTCAGTCTCCTCAGCTGTAAAATAGTAATCTAAGGCCAAATATTTTACAAGTTTGTTGCAAGAATTATGAGATTGTTTGTAAAAACAATTTTGTGAGCCATAAAGCATTATACAAATTGTATTCTAAATAATAATAATAGAACTCCATGCACCTAAAATACAGGGTAGCTGCTAAAAATTCCAGAGAACTTAAACCTATAAAGGATTCCCTGAGGACTACACCCAGAAGGTACAGTTATTACTAAGTTATTCTTTCATTTAAAAAATAATTCCTAACAATTTTGACCAACTATGAAAAGAATAGAATGCGACCAGCTGTCCTGCCAGAAACCCAAAATTTTAATTAAGAATTGCTGGGGCGCCTGGGAGCCAAAGTGTCTGCCTTTGGCTCAGGTCATGATCCCAGGGTCCTGGGATGAAGCGGGGAGCCTGCTTGTTCTTCTCCCTCTGCCCCTTCCCCACCTCTTGTGTACTCTCTCTCTCAAGTAATAAAATCTTTAAAAAAAAAAAAATAAATAAAAAAGAACTGCCACCACATTGTACAGATTACCAGTAGCAAATTTCACTTTCAGATTCATAAAGTCACCCTCCAAGTGATGAACACTTCATCAAACATACACAGAGTTTTAGGTGATGCTGGCAATAGCTGTTACAGATTAATGTTTTCTAACATAAGCATATAAAAACAACTCGCAGAGGCAGGAATAAAATGGTGAAGTATTTCCCAGGTCAGATTTTTAGACTCATGTTTCATTTTTTTTTTTTAAGATTTTATTTATTTATTCATGAGACAGAGAGAGAGAGAGAGAGAGAGAGGCAGAGGGAGAGGGAGAAGCAGACTCCCTGCTGAGCAGGGAGCCCCATGTGGGACTTGATCCCAGGACTCCAGGATCATGACCTGAGCCAAAGGCAGACGCTTAGCTGACTGAGCCACCCAGGTGCCCCATGTTTCATTTCTTATTGAAATTATGTCAATGATTAAAATATCAGACACTCCCACAATGAATTCTAGCACAAAAAAAATTCCAAAGACAAGCACGATGAATTCTGAGTTATTCAAACCACTATTATAATAACTACTACAAACTCTAATAGGCCATACAACTACATAACAAACCTATTTCAAACAATAATCCTAAAAAGTAAATCCAAGTACACAGCAAATATCTAGCATAAACCAATGTTAAAAAGCCTTAAAACAATCTGATCTACAGTCCTTTTACATAGTCTTCAATTATAAATAGCAAGAAGGCATAACTCCTTACTCCTTTTTGGTTTCCTCTGAGGACTTGTTCTCTTCCTTCTCTTCATTCTCAGCTTCTCCCTTTGGCTGCTCTGTCTCACTAGATGTAGCAGGTGGAGTTTCATTCTCTTGTTCTTCTACAGTAGAGACAGATTCCTCTGAACTTATGTCTGGTTCTAAAAAATCAGGTGGGCAGAATCGCATTAAGTAGATATATTAGAGACTGAGTCAATAAAAGGATAAAAGTCTAATTTATTAAACAGAAAAGCCAAATGCTCCAACTGACAGATGTATTTTAAAATGAACAAATGACTATCAGTTGCCATTTTCTTTCCTTTTTTAGTCCACTCAAATTCCCTATTCAATGGGTTGCTTATCCAGACCATTAAGTGATAAAAGGAGATGAACCAGACAAGTACACAGAAAGAGAAACTCATTTTACCTCAAATCAAATCTCTTGCCCACTCTCTGCAATATTAATGATAAAATTCATAATTAAGAAATTAGCTATTTCAGGGGCTCCTGGGTGGTTCAGTCGTTAAGCATATGCCTTCGGCTCAGGTCATGATCCTGGGATCGAGCCCCGCATCGGGCTCCCTGCTCTGTGGGAAGCCTGCTTCTCCCTCTCCCACTCCCCTTGCTGTGTCCCCTCTCTTGCTGTGTCTCTGTCAAATAAATAAAATCTTAAAGAAAAAAAAAGAAATTAGCTATTTCATAATTTAACAGACAAATCTTAGGAAAGGAATGAGTAACAGAAAATGAACACCTATTTTCCACGTTAAAGGACTGGGGCAAGAGCACAAATCTGAGAGGGGGGAATAGTGAGGTCTGCAGTTGCTAATCTGTGTCTTTTCTCAGCATGTCTCTTTGAGCAGTTACTACAAAACACAGTACCCCAGATTTGGTTAAGTAGGGACTTCAAAGAAAAGGACTCTCCAGTGGCAAAACTTCGGCAAAAAAATAAAAGTATAGGCTTGAAGAGTTTGGTCATTTAAATTATGTGAACAGGGTGCCCGGGTGGCTCAGTTGTTAAGCGTCTGCCTTCGGCTCGGATCATGATCCCAGGGTCCTGGGATTGAGCCCCACATCGGGCTCCCTGCTCCACGGGAAGCCTGCTTCTCCCTCTTCCACTCCCCCTGCTTATGTTCCCTCTCTCGCTGTCTCTCTGTCAAGTAAATAAACAAAATCTTTAAAAAAAAATAAATGTGAACAAATTACTATCATGATGAAAACTTCTAAGAGAACAAAAAAAATGCCACTTCCTTCTTATAACCAAAACACATATATACGGTTCTAAAGGAATTTCTAATTTTGAAAAATTAAAATTCTAAACCATGAATTTCAGGACAGTCAACTATCATTTGTCGATCTCATCCTAGATTATGCTCTTCAACCAGACTTGCATATAAGTTGAAAATCCTCACATATATGTTTAGCCAAAATTGAGGCTTTAGAGAGTCAGACACACCTGGCTTCAAGTTCAGTCCTTATAACTTTCTAGCTTGCTATCTTAGGGCAAGTTCTTGGATATCTCCAAGTTTCAGTAATCTTACCTCACAAATTTATCATGGGTATTGTATAAAATGCTTTATAGGTACACTTGCACTATGTGGATGATTCCCATCTCCTTTGGCCTCTCCTGCTGCTTCTCGAACTATTTCACAAAGTATTAAAGCTAGAACTTCATTATAACAATGGTATCTGGCAACTCAGATAATTACTGTAAGATGTATTTTTTTAATCACATATGTATCTTTTACTGCCCCTCGCCCCACCAATTTGATTTAACTCCTGTGTGGGTAAGAACTTACTAATAGTCATTATGTTTACTTCTACATTGCCTTATTCTAAAAAGGATGAAAAAAAACCGTTTACTGGGTTTTACTCTAAAAGTAGAGCTATAAATTCAATTTCATATTATTTTCTCAAGAATAACTGCTTAGGGGCGCCTGGGTGGCTCAGTCGTTAAGCGTCTGCCTTTGGCTCAGGTCATCCCAGGGTCCTGGGATCGAGCCCCGCATCGGGCTCCCTCCTCCGCGGGAAGCCTGCTTCTCCCTCTCCCACTCCCCCTGCTTCTGTTCCCTCTCTTGCTGGGTCTCTACCAAATAAATAAATAAAATCTTAAAAAAAAAAAACAGCTTAATAGTTGATGGATTAATAAAGGTGCAGTAATTCAACAGACATTGAGTACACAGTATGTATAAGACACTGTTTCCAACTCATTAAACTCTCATGTCTGTGCTGTGAAATGCAGGATTTATAAAATCTAAAGTATGAGTGAAGTCAAATTATTTTTATATACAAAATACTATAATGGGAGATTACACACAGAACTTGTGAAGTGACTTACTGACCCTTTCTAAATTCCTGGCTGACTTTTCCAATACCTGAACTCTCTGCATGTATTCTGAAAACTGATATGATTAGTGATTTAGTGGCTTTAGCTGACTGTAAAGCAAATGGTGGCTTAAGATGGGCCATAAAGTGGCTTATCTCAGTGCTGGACAAAATAACCAACGTCACCTCACCAGCACCTCTCATTTTTTCATATGCTGATTCCCATGTCTCCTAAGTACCTCAGGCTAGTGTACCCGAGTTGTTTGTGCTATTCATCTGAGTATTTTGAAACAAAACCCAGGTTCAGCTGGAAAAAGAGTATATTCCTGCTGCACCAAGGGATAAAGGCAATAGGGTGCACATATTTTTTATTCCCAATCTATGCTGGTCAGCAAATACTTAGTTCTAATAGCCACAACAGGGACAGCACCATGTGCTCATCCCTGGCAAACTGAAAATGAAAGGCAAGGGAGAAAGGGGAAAAGGATAAGGAAAGAAAGAAAAAGGTCACAAGAAGAAAAAGAAAAACAAGGAAAAGGAGATGCCATAAAGGAGCACTATTATCCAGGTTGATGGTTCTATATTTCTCTTGATTCATTACGTTCCCAACTCTGTATGGCCGATCTTCTCTCCACCAACACCAAATGCAAACCAATACTTTGATTGCCCATTTGTTCCCTTAAGGCCTCATGATGATTTCTGGGTGACCCTGCACTGTCTGTCTTGAAGGCTCAAGACCCCCATTCCTCCACGGTCTTCATCCCCACGACACAGTATGCCCAGAAGTTACTCTTTGACAGTTCCTGTTCTCGCCAACTATTTTCTTTTTAATTCCAAGAACATGAAATTTTCACCTTCTAAAAATCTTTAGAGACAAGATGCAATTCTTACTTTGCTCACTTTGATCTGGAAATGACATATCCATAGGTACCACTTCTCTCTTTCAATGTCCCCCCAAAACAGCCATGAAAAAAGAACAATTAAGTTCAAAGGAATTAATGGGATACTCCAAACTGGAATAGAAACTTTTGCCATTTTAAGTTGTCTACTGCTTTACTTTACCTGGCTTTTCTTCCTCCCCTTCAGCAAGCTTGCTTTTGGGAGGAGCTTCCCGCGTAGAATTCACAGTTCGACGGATCGGCATGGTGCTATCTTCTACCTTCTAAGAAAAAAGACAGCCATAATCACACATGCATAAGAAAAATTCTCTTTTTTCTCTTTCTCAAGGGGCCTAACTGGGTGTTAGAAGATGTAGGAGAATTCTTCAAGTCGACTCCAGGATCTGATGCAAATTACTTTTAACAAGTTTTGTTGAAGTAATAAATATGATTTTTAGAAATACTTTCCAAAATATTTTATTTTAGCTAGAATTTCAAATGGAAACAGGTAATTATACTTGATTTGGAATAAATTTAGAAGGTTGGAAGTTTTCTCAGGAATTTGAGGGGAAAGGGAAGATGAAAAGAATTTTGTATGTTTGATTTTTTCAGATTCACAACCCAGAACTCCCCAAAGTAAAGAAAGGAACATGTACCAAGAAGGACCCAGCAGGGCCTGAAGTCAGGGACTGATCCAAGAGTGAGCTTCAAGAATGTGTCAGCCCCTACCTCACCTAACTTGTCCGCGTGGATCAGCTGAGCTCCTACTATAAGTGGGAGTGCCTTAGGATGGACGAGTTCACCTTGAGACGTATCAGTCGCCATTTAAAATAATTTCTAGGCCCGAGTACAGGTTACACTCTGAAGCCTCTGCTGTTAACCACAAGGATTTTTCCTAATGGTTTCAGTGTGGTGAAGAGTCAACCTAAAGCACAGAAAAGACCTGGTGTGAAGATTAACAGAAACAAAACTAAACTAAATGTCTAAATTTAATACACATCCAAAGGGAAAAAAATTAACTATAAAACTTATAGTTAAGTGACAGATGACTTGATCAGTTATCATTCAGAAAGATAAAATCAACTATCAAAATACAGACTACGTAAAGCAGCCACTAAGACAAACGCACAAGCCACAGCAGCTGTTGCACCTGCCACGTGAACAAAGGCAACAAGGACAAGAAAGCTCCTAAGGAACCTAACCCCATTCCCCTCCGGCTACCACCAGGAACTTAGAAAGGACAGAAAAAGGAGACTAAGGAACAGTTTAGTCAAATGTTTACTCAATTACTGAAGAGAGAAGGTTTTTGTTGTTATTGTTCTCAAACGGATCAGGAAAATTATCGGCAACCTTGACTTCATCTCCATTAGATAAGTAATCCAAGGGCAAAAATCCTGCTGAAGAACGTGATACTCTAAGAGCCTCCAGACCTAGAGAAGCAAATTTAGACCGTCACCTAGGAGAACAGAAGTATGCTTCCAAGACCTTATTTGTTATTTTTAAAGTAGGCAAAACTAGCACAGAAGAAAGAACATAATTAAATATTCAAAGATAAAACCCATGTAGTCACTCAAATTTACCTGATCATTAAGAGTCTCTGCCCTCAAAAAAAATCTCATCTGGGACTCAATGACATTTTATAATAAAATCTCTCCAAAATATAAGAAAATGATCATTTGAGTGTTTAGATCTTTGTGCTAATGAACATTAAAAAAGAGTTGGGGAATAGCAGACTAGTCATTCAACCTCTACTTTAAGCTCTGACCCTGTCTAGGAATTCAGGAGCTTTCAATTTGTCAGGTAAAATAGTTCCAAGCTACAACAACTAGATAAATCCAAAAAACCCAAACACAGAGAATGCTTTCACATTTACAGGGAAAATCTTTTTATGGGAACCCCAAGAGCAATGCCAGACTTGTGAATTGTCAATCAGCTGCAAGCAAAGGCAGTTGATAGAATTCAAGATGCACTAAAACTTATTATCAAGAGTAAATAAGTAATATTCATGAATATTTTAAAAATTGTTACAAAAACTACTTAAAATGTTCATATAGCAATTCATTCAAAGAATTACAAAATACAGAAATAAAAATAATTGTTTTTTGATCTGTGAAAAGAGGACCACGATGGGCTTAAGAACACTATTTAGGCTTGTGAAACCTAAAAGTCTATCTTGGAATAATTTGAATACAAAAACCTGTTCATTCATGCAACCAGCCCTTACACAGTAATATATTTTCTTGAACAATTAAAAAAAAAACCTAAGCAAATCTGCTGCTCTTTTCACATGTGAACCCTACAGAGAAGTAAACCATCAGGTTATTCTTGGTAAAGTGATATGGCTAATGAATTCATCTTTCTTAACCCACGGTAACACTAGCTATATTGAAAATGCTACTGTGAAGTCAACAAAAACCTTCAGGAGTCTGTGTTCATAGGATATCTTGAAAAAATATTTTCCCTGTAAACACAATACTGAACAAAAAGTATCAAAACCTTTCCAGTCTACTATATTCATTAATTACTCAAAACTAAAACAAATGGTTAAAAGGGGCGGGGGCACGCAAAGGAAGCTATTACTAACGCCAATGTGATGACTAAAATCAGGGCAACAAGTGCATGGTCCATAAAGACATTAGACATCATTAACCCAAGGACAAGAATGACAGTTTAAATTAGGCCGGGGAAGAAGCATGCCCAGTTGGAATTAAAAAAAAAAAAAAAAAAAAAGTTGGTTTGCCAATCTTCCTGGCTGCATCCACCAAAAATATAAATCCTGACACTCTCCTGCTTAAAACCTCCCAATTACCATCCCCCTATTTTACTAATCTCACCTCCTACTACTTTACCCATCACTCTACTCTCTTGACTCCAAACACAAAGACCTTTTGGCCCTGGCACTGTGCTCTGCTCATCCCTGCCTCAGGGTGTTTGTACTTGTTCTCTGAACCGAAAACTCTCTTTTCCTAGACACTTCAATCAGGCTTCTGCTCAATGTCACGCCCCTCAGGCCTCCCGTCCTTCTCATTCTTCGGGTTTCTTTAGCATTTAATACCAACTGAAATTCAAAATATGTTTACTTGTTTATTATGTATCTCTCAAATGCACTGAGAGCACTAAAAGGGCTAGGACCTTTAATTCACACTGTACTCACAGCACGTAGAACAGTGTCCAGCACATAATGTGTTGGACAAATTTGGGGGAAAACGTTAAATAAACAATGCCATCTAATAACTTATTACTATATTTAGTGTATGTGAAGAACACTTAAAAAAAGGAACCCAAAGTTATTTGGGATAAATATTAAGAAATGTTTGCCTCAGAGGCACCAGGCTGGCTTAGTTCGTAGAGTACAACTCTTGATCTCGGGGTCATGGGTTTGAGCCCCACACTGGGCATAGTTTACTTTAAAATAAAAATGTCCAGGGCGCCTGCGTGGCTCAGTTGGTTAAGTGACTGCCTTCGGCTCAGGTCATGATCCTGGAGTCCCGGGATCGAGTCCCACATCGGGCTCCCTGCTCAGCAGGGAGTCTGCTTCTCCCTCTGACCCTCTTCCCTCTCGTGCTCTCTATCTCTCATTCCCTCTCTCAAATAAATAAATAAAATCTTTAAGAAAAAAAAAATTTAAAATAAAAATGTCTGCCTCACCTCTGAATTTCCTTGGTTAAGGGTCATGGAACTTAAAGGTTCAGTCTGGGGGCGCCTGGGTGGCTCAGTCATTAAGTGTCTGCCTTCGGCTCCAGTCATGATCCCAGGGTCCTGGGTTCAAGCCCTGCATCGGACTCCCTGCTCCGTGGGAAGCCTGCTTCTCCCTCTTCCACTCCCCCTGCTTGTGTTCCCTCTCTTGCTGTGTGTCTCTATCAAATATATAAATAAAATCTTAAAAAATAAAAAAGCTTCAGTCTATAATACTTTCTTTTTAACAGGTTCGCTAATGAGTTACTTACTATGTTCAATGTTCATTACAGAACTAGCAAAACTGTATGGATGGTTAACTCACACTGCCCTTATCATCACCATGTACCTATTAACTTTTTGCAGCTGCACTTTTGAATCAGACTTTTAGGCTACCATGCTTATTCCCCAGCAGAGATATTATCTAGCTGGTTCACTGATGCATACTTGGTGCCTAAGAACACCCAAGGCATAGAATAGGTGCTCAACAAATATTTGTTAAATGAAAGGATGATGAATAGATGGAAAAAGTTTCCCAGCTAGGTTCTTTCATGTGCCAAAACCAATCTGAGTTTACCTGTGGTTTATGTGGTCCTCCTGTGGTCTCCAATCTGGGTTGGTTTGTTTGTTTTTTTAACATTAGATTAACTATACAAAGAGTTGCCTTTGTAAAAGGAAATTTTAAATTGTTTTTAATTTAATGCAAGCAATAAAAAAAGGTGATAAAGTCTAGAATTTCAGAGTTTTTATTTTTCTCTACATTATGAGAAAGCAATAGAAAAAGTAGTAGGAGGTTAACAATGTTAGTAGTAGTAGTAGTTTATGGATATCCTTCAAGATACGCATTTTAGGGAAAGTACTATTATTTCATATTTTACCATAAAATGTGTGCGGTGTTATAAATTACAAAATCATCAGCTACACGCACAGAATATATCAAAATGTTCACAACCTCAAGTCTTTCACTATATTCAGACTTAATAGTAATGTCACAAAAAGCATGCCGGTAATTTGCTGGCAACTTTCCCCCACCCACTTTTACACTTCAATAAATCAGCATGTACCTAATTACCTTGGGCATAGATGATATGTACGGCCACTACATGGCCCCCCCTGAAAAACACAATCACAATCTAACTGCCTAAACTGTTATGATTTTCATCTATCCATAACAGTTCAGGATACTTCCTCCAACTTTCTGCCCTCAGTCGTCCAAGTCAGTTTAAAAACGCAGCCAAACCAAAAACAAAACAAAATAAATCTTTAAAATTTTACTTCTACTTTGAAACATAGGAAACTGAACTTTTCAGAAGAGCAATAAAAACTTAAAAGCTCAGAGTAGCTTTATGCCCATGCCAGATAAAACAAAATCAAAGTATCTTCCAAAATAAAACCAGTCACGTCTAATTTCAAAGACACGAGAGCTGCCTAACAAGTCCCAGGCGAATTCCTAGACGTATTTCTAACTGGATTCTCACTTTGCGGTGTAATGAAAAGTCAGGAAGCATAATAAACAACAGAGAGAATTCAGAATTTGTAAGCTGAAGGGGCAATCCTTGTCCAGTCCTCCGTGCAGGAGAGAATACTACCCCCAAAAGGTTAAGTGACCCGTCCTCGGGCACAGACAGTGGCTAATTCGGTATCAAAACTCAGATCTGAGGCTCTCACTTCAGCACTCCTGCCTCCACTTCTTGACAAACGCTCATATTCATGAGTTAGACTTTTTAAATTAAAACCACACCTTCTAAGGTGCGGTGAGTAACAAGCTCTGGGCATGCCAGACGGTTAAACGAAAGCTCAGGCCCGCATCGCAGGAGCAGCAGAGCAGCAGCAGCTCGGAAACGCCCGCCCAGACCGCTGAGAGGCACACGGGGAACAGCGCAGCCGAGACAAAGAGGCAGGGAGCGGCCGGTACGGGGCGCGAGCAGAGGCGGGGGAGCGCGGGGCCAAGAGGAAGGCAGCGCGGCAGATGACAGGAGGGCTCAGCGGCGGCGGACACCGAAGAGGGGCGGCGCGGGCTCCGCGCGGCCAGCAGCTCGGGACGCGGGGCTCGCGCTCGGGAATGCACGCGGCCGAGGCCGACGCCACGACCCCGGCAGCGGTCGCCCGCGCGACACAAGAAACGGCAGACGGCGAGCACTAGCGCTCCGCGCACTCACCACTGGGAGCTCCGTAATGGCGGCGGCGGGGGCGGAGAAGCCGGGGGGCGGGCCCGCCGCAGCCAGTCACCGCCGCCGGCATCTTTCGAACCCGCTCCAAAAACCGCTGAGGGAGTGGGGTGGCGGGGGGAGGGGAGGGCGGGGGCGGCGGCGGGGGTCCGCCTCGGGCCTCGGGAGCATGCGCAAGGCCTCAGCCAATCGGAGCGCAGCTGGAGGACGCTGGCGCAGGCGCGCTGGGACGCAGGGCCCTGGACCAGGGAAGAGCTACCCCCTCCTCCCACCTCAGTCCAAACAAAACAAGGGCGGGAGCGCGCGCGCCAGAGGGCCCCGGAGGAGGCGTCAACAAGAGGGGCAGGGGGCTAGGTCGCAGGGGAGAGGGGAGAGGGGAGGGAGGGCGGAGCGGCCGGGAGAGGCAGACAAAAGGCACCACCTCCGGGGACCCGAGCGCCCCGCCCCCTCCACTCTGGGAGCGGCGTCGGCGCCCCGGGCGAGCGGCCTCGACCACTCGCCTTCGGGGTCCAGCGAGCCCGCGCCCACTCCCCGCCCGCCCGTTCCGTCCTGCGTTACCTCTGCGCTCCCCCCTTCCTGGCGCCCGCGTTCCGCACGGCCTCTCGGCGCCGTTCCTGCTGCCGCTCGTCGTCTCCGCCGCCGCTGTCCTCCAGGCCCAGCCACCCAGCTCTGCCGCCCCGCCCCCCTGCCCGCGGCCCCGCGCGCGCGCGCGCGCGCACTCCCGTGCCGGCCCCGCCCCCGCGCGCGACCGCGATCGCGCCCCCAGCCCGCGGGAGCCGAGGGAACGCGCGCGACTTGTCTCCCCGGCCGGGTGCGCGACAACGTGAGAGGGCGCTCGGGGGCTGGAGGACGCCCGGGAGGGGGCCGTGCGTCCGCCCACGCTTCCCCCGGGTACTGCCCGGTGGTGCCCGTTAGCTTGGGTGAGGTTTCGTTTTCCTCGGAGGAGCACTCTTCGCTCCCTTCCCTTTCGCTACTCCAGTTCGGTCCCCGGTCTTAAGCGGGTCTCCGCTTTGGAGATGCGTCTGCCTTTAGAGGGGCTGGCGTCTCCCGCTTCTCAATTTAGCCACAGCACAAGAGCAAACTGCCTTTCTTCGATGACCGTGGAAGAATTGAACAACCAGATAGCGGTAAATTCGGTACCTCACATTCGTTCCTATTAGGTATCCAGACAGTACAGAGCAGAGTAGTGACTCAGGATAAGAACTGGAAAAGTTGCTTTTCTAATCTATGAAAGGGTCTTCCGTGGCCTCCTATCTGCATACGCAAGAAGGATTCTCAAAAAGTAAACCTTGGCATCAGGAAAGAGGGAATTCCCTTTGAATTGTCAGATTACTTTGGTATCAGCGGACTTAGGCAATGTACGTACTGTTGAAAAATGTAACTTTTCAAAGCCAAAGTGTTTAGGTGTTTTGTGGGGTAGAGGTAGTGCGGGGAATGAATATAGGGAAATAACACTAGAATTACCCCGAGGCTCACAGCAATGTGGCCGATACTCAAATGCGTGTACTAATAATTCTAAAGATTTATTATGAAACCATTTAAGTATTTGCTAGCCCAGTCTTCGGGCTGTATAATTAGCATTTTAACTGTCTCACCAGCTTTCCCAGTCATAGCCATCCACTCACTCCATCAGTTGCAAAATGAGCTGTATAAAATTTAACAACTACCACCAAAAACTGCTTACTATTGGCATTACCAATGCTCTGGCACTCTGTTGTCATATTCAACCTGTTCATAAGGGGTTTCAGTCATTTTGCGCCATTTCTTTGTCCTGCTCAATTCCTTTGTTATCAACCATTCTATCCTTTGTATTCCTTTTTACTGACTCAATTCCATTTTTATGTATTCGTATCCTTAAAACATCTTACCTTTGTTCTTTTTTCTAAAATGTCTTTAGCTCCATCTTATTCAAGAAACTGACCCAGTTAAGAGCAAACTAGATTTCTCCTCCAGACTTTTGCTTCTCACACACACACACACACACCCTTTACTCTATTGTTTACAACATGTATACCCAAGAAGGGAAAACCTTAAAATTCTTCCTCAAGGGTGTGACACACAAACCATGCACTAAGGCTACACTTGCTGAAGTCTGAAGTTTTAAGTTTTCTACTTACAAAGGGATTTTAAATTTTTTACTGTACGTATATATTGGTTGAGGCATTGTACATCTGCTAAATGTAACATCTAGCTAGTTTTGATTTTTACACTTAGCTGCCTCTGAGTTAAGACTCCATGGGGGTATGGTTTTATAGGTTATCTCACTTGGCTTTGAGCTATACTGTAAAAATATTATTCAGTTGGGTTTGTTAAACAGAGTTACACGATGAATTTTGTACTATTTACTTAAGCTTTTAAGGCTGTTTGGCTTGAATTGGAAGGAACACACACCTTGGCAAGTTTAGGAGCAGGTGAGCTCTTACGGAGTGTATGGAGATTACCGTCAGAGCCTCGGAAGACCCCTGTGCTCACAGAGATCTTACACTGATTAGAGGACTTGAAGTTCCAACATTCAGAGATTCATTCCTTTGGTTTAAGCTTCATTCTCTTCCATAGCACTTTGAAAGTGCTAATGCCAAGGAGAGCTAACATACAAGTCTCACTGATCATTGAGAATTCATTGTTTTTCCACCTCTAAACTTGAGAATCTAAAGCCTTCCCTTCCACAGTCAGGAATCAGAAGAGTAAGAATTCTGGGTGTCTGATTAGAAGAGGAACTTTTAGCAGACAGAAGTAGTAAACGTGCTGTTGTCTGTGATTACTTAATTCTGCCCAGGAACACCTGGGATACAGGAATGACTTGACAGTCCCAGGAACACGAGGAAATGTAGGGTTTTGTGAACTAGAAAAGCAAGTGTTAAGAATTCCCCACAATGAAACTGTATCATCTCTAGTTTTCAACAAACACCCACTTTTTCAGAAGCCAATTCCCTGTTGAAACTTTTAGCATACAGCAAGATTTGCAGATGGCCTGTTGTCAGTGCAATAGTTTTTCACTGTCCCTCAAGTTTTTTATTTTTATTTATTTTTAAGATGTTATTTATTTGACAGAGATAAGGAACACAAGCAGAGGGAGTGGGAGAGGGAGAAGCAGGCTCCCCACCAAGCAGGGAGCCCAATGTGGGGCTCGATCCCAGGGCCCTGGGATCATGACCTGAGCCAAAAGCAGACACTTAACGACTGAGCCACCCAGGCGCCCCCATCCCTCAAATTTAAAGCTAAGTGATACTTAAGTCTGTTAGGCTAAAATGTTTTTTTGTATAGAAAAGCAAAAAATGTGTGGCTTTGGAGATTTAGGCATACGCATAGTGTAAGTTGAAACAATTGCAGATTTCCAGGAGTATTCTAGAGCACAGCTATGATATTGCAGTCAAGGGGCTGAACATTGAAAGTTACGTCTACCTATTTTACTCATTTTCCACTCATTAATAAGGAGAGATTTGAGGAATAATTCTTTATTGACTGGTGGGGAGAGGTTTCTGTTCCTAGCAAGGCTGATCTTTATTATCCCCACAAATCAAGGCCAAGGGACTCCAATTTCATGCAGAAGTAACCAAAAGCTAGGCCAGGGCTTGGATCCCTTAAGAATGTATGGTCCTGGCAGGGTTGGGAGTCACTTGACATTTCTGGTTTCCAGCCAAAAGACTGGAAATGACTCTCAATTTAGTGCAGCTTGGAAAGAGATGGCAAGAGAATTAACAATTTGCACTATTGGGCAAAAAAAAGAAGATGAAAAGATATTATTCCTCAAACTCCCCCGCCATGGTGTTATTATTTCTGGTTATCCGAGGCCACTACCCTGGTGTAGAGACAATCACCCTGGGTCCTCCTCTGCCAGTGTTGCACTTTCTTCTACTCACTAGTGGCAATAATTTTATTCAGCCCAGCAGTCCTCGAACTGTAAAACTTTTTACTAAACTATAAAAAATTCTGAATCTGAAAGATATCTGGTCCCAATGGTTTTGGATAAAAGATCGTGAACCAGTTATATAAAAACCAAATAGGTTTACAAAATAACACCCTCACATGTTCTATTCTATTATTTTTTTAAAATGCTGGTTGTCAATGATTAACTTAGTCATTCAGTTTGAGAACCTCTGTCCTAGATGTCATTTGCCCTTTGGTGTTCAACTGGAGTCAACATTTCTAGGTACTTCAGGGGTCTGAAAAATGTTAGTGTCAAGAGTTTACTATTATTTTGAGGATAAGGGTTTTAAATAACAGTTGTCCTTTAGTTTGAAGTATCTGACATATTGGATGGACTTACAGTTCAGTCCTCAAGGCAACAAAAACATTTGGGTATGTTATTACAGGTATCCTTCAGTGGGGAATAGAATCTAGAACTAGGGTAAGTAAGGTACTTAGTCCTACCATCTTTAATGAAAACAGGATTTACTTTCAAGCTTGTTTTCATGTCAGGTTGTAGAAACTCTATGTGTTGAACTGTTTTTCCCCCTTTCAAACACCAGAGGCAAGACAACTGCACTTTAACAGACTAAAGACACTGTTTGCTAGGTTTACTAAAAAGCAAAACAGACCCAGTTTTGTTTTGACTGTATAATCTGAAGTCAACAGTACTACTCTTCTCCCTCCACTCCTACTTTGTTGCTTTAACTTATTTGGAGTAAGAGGCCTGCAAGGCAACCAGGCCTGTTATAGTGGCCAGAGATAGCTATGGGTCAGATCAAATCAGTGACACCCAGGGTGACCAACTATTCTGGTTTACTTAATAGGGGGAGGTTGACCGTTAGTGGAAGGTAGGACTTTGTTTTTAAACCAAGGAAGTCCCAGCAAAATGGTTATCGTAAGACATCCTTTCTTTGTGGTTATGGGGTAGTTTGAGAAACTTTCTTTAAATGGGAAGATTTTTTATGCAGTAAACCCAGTAATTCATGTTTTTTAAGATTTATTTTTTGGGGGGGGAGGGGCAGAGGGCAAGAGAAACCCAAGCAGGCTCTGCACTGAGTGCAAGCCCAACACAAAATTCTATCTCACCCTAAGATCAAGAC